TTGGTGGTCGATCGAATGGCCTTTAGTTCGGTCAAATTCTGGTGGTGTTCCGTGTCTGCTGGAAGGCACACACTTTTGGCAAGATTGAAGGCCATCAAGTGATCCTTCTCAGCGACCACCGAATCGGTATCTTGAATAAGGCAGTTCTGAAATTTCAGCTTCGGTGCCCACCTGGAAGAGCCAGCCCGGTCAGAAGGCTCTGGCTGTGGAATTGGTGGAGGGATGGATTCGTCGTCATCCACAAGATGTTCGGTCGAGGTAGATCGGGCGCGCTTGGATGGGCGTGATGAAGAAGGCTGTTGAGAAGGAAGGGCCACAACGGCCGGTTGCGTTTGGCTTGGTGGCGGTACTTCGGGTCTGTTGGTCTTAGTTAAGAGGGCCCTGACTCTGTTTCTCTTGGCCATTTCTTCTTCAGCGGTCAGTGGGATTAGTCTGATTTCTAGCAAGGTTGGGTCTGGTTCTGGGGCCTCCTCTAGCAGAAAATCGGTCACTCTCGCTTTTCGGCGGCCGCTGTATCTATAGGTCGGTTCGAACTTTAGCAGCTTGGCCCAACTACGTTCTGGATACCGTAGTGCGGCGCGCAAGGTCGCTAGATTTGGGTAGCTGTATAGAGAATGGAGGTGGGCAGAATCTACGAAAGAAGACAACTGTTAGTTCGGTTGAAAAATTGAAAACCGAAATATAGTAAAGCACGCAAGAAAACCGAAGTAATTATACCAGGTGTTCCTTTTTTCCAATTGATGCTTCGGCCAGGAATATAGGCTTAGTGATCCTCAAAGTTCCCAGACACCCAGAAAAAATCGTCGTCATTCAAGTCTTTATCCAGTGTGTTTTTTATTATTTTCTCACGACGACGGCGTATTCTAAGATAGTACACCCAGCCATCTTCCTTCGAACCAATGGAGTATTGGTGAAAGATTTCGGCCAGACCAAGGTTGAGACCGGCTTGGCGGTTTAGTTCGGCTATTTCCATTATTATACGGTATGAATTGATGGATTGTTGGGTTGGGCATAGTCTGGTTTGCCTAAGAAACTCACAAATTAAGGATTGGAGTGGAAATCGTAGTCCGGTTTCAATTATGGACAAAAGGGTGAAGGGGACAAAGCCTTCATTCCCCCAGGGTATGACATCTTTTTCGGCCAGGGTAAGGTGTACATCGTCAGGTATGCCATAATCCCTTCGGAATTCGGCTAGACCACCTGGCGTCTCTACTAGAAACCTATACTTCCCCATTTATTGTATAATTTATGAACAAATTAGTTCGGTCCAAAAATTGTGCTCAGTAGCTCGGTTGAGCGCGCAGAGAAGTGCCTGGGCAACCTAAGTCTGCAAAGTAGAAAACAAAGGGGTTAAACACAGATCATTGGACCGTGCTACAAAATAAAAGTAAAAAATAGGAGCCCTACTTCGGCTATGTGGATGCTATAGGTTCTGTCTCGGTTTCTGCAAGGTGATTGGTAGCTCGGTTTGAGCAGGGCTTTTATTAGCTCAGGCTTGGCAAGCGTCTCGATATCTCGGTTATGGAAACGGTTCTGTTTGACCGGTTGATCGTCTAGGGGCAGCTTTCTAAGTTTCGTCTAAAAAAACTAAGAAAGCTGGTTTTAGCCCCAAAGGCCTAGATCGGTTGAAGTTTAGGTATCTCAGTATGCTAAGTGCAAACATTAGTTCGGTTGGTTACCTCGGCTGAGGTAACGCAAGAAGTGGTTTGACTTATTAAAACTACTGGTGTAAACATGAAGTGTTAGTCCGGTTGTAAACTATCTAGGCTTTTACCTAGCTTAAACAGTGTCCTAGTTCGGTTGCATCATGATTTTGGATCGAAAACCAGTTTTCTACAGGATATTACATGTACTCATGTGTTCTATTGTTAAGTTTTTTCTAGAAAAATACAGAGCAAAGCGAAACGGAAAAATATGTTTTGCAAAAACACAGAAAACAAAATACGAACACAAAGTAGATGTACAGTGCTTACCCGATGAAGAGGCAAGAGCTGGAGAGAGAATAACAGTTATGGAGAACACGAGCTTAGAAGTTGAAGAAGCAATGGAGGCTCAGAAAAAGAAAAGTTGCAAAGTGTGTCAAAATGAAGAGGCTCGTTTTAGGTAAAGGGAAAAAGGCGGGACTGTTCAAATTTCACGAAGTACGAAGACGACGTGACAGCTGTCCTCAGTCAATCAGAGCATGCCACGTGCCATTAGAATAGGAAGCGTTTCAGTCTGTGATTGAAGAGACATTACTACCGGACAGCTAGAGCTCGGTGTGAAAGTAGCCCGGTTGGATAGGCTAAAAATCTATAGCTCGGTTGGAAAGGCTGAGAGTTTATAGCTCGGCTGGTTGGCAAATAATCCCAAACATGCTAGGCAGATAGAATTAAGGGGCAATTGAGAGGGTAATTTATGTGAAAATTGGGCCGAGCTGCGTAATGGGCCGTTATGGGCCGCAGTACAAAGGGCCGAGTAAAATGGCCATGTAAGTTATTCCGGTCGTGCGGATATTTTGAGGTTAGTCCGGTCCTAAGGCCATGAAGCTAGTCCAGTCCAACAGAAGATCGAAGTTAGATCGGTTTAACGGTACTTTGGAGTTAGACCGGTCTTGGAGTTACACCAGTCATGACATGTTAGTTCGGTCTGACCACGCCATGGGTTGTGCATGAGAAGCCGACGTAAGAGCAGTAAAAGGAAGAGCTAGTTCGGCTTATTCTGCGGCTATGCATAGTCATGTTTACTTCGGTCATATTGGAGTTCAGCCATTGTAAAAACCATCTCACTTGGTTTAAGCAGTGAGGGGGGTGTTGAAGGATAAGCATTATCTTTCAGGGATATGAATCCTAGGAGAACTCTGCATGGAGAAGTAGAAGTCCTAATAGGATTGTGCCACACAAAACCTATAAAAGCTCACAAACATCACCTTTGGAAAAAAAAAACACACAATTTTGCTTTCTGAATACACACAGCTTTTGTCTATTTGTCAAGCTTACTGACTTAGGCATCGGAGAGGTTTCTGGCACACACCCGCCGGCTAGCTCACGTTTGTGTTTTCAGGTGATAAAGCGACGGCGTACAGAGGAGCGCAGACTTGATCAACAGTATTATACAAGAAGGTTTATTTCTTTTCCGTACAGTCACGATGATAAGAGACTAGAGCGTAGAGTTCACAGTAATGGAGAGTTAGAGATAAGGGATTGTGATAGAGGCTGACTAGGTTGTGATGGAGGGTGATAAGAAGTTGGGTTGTGATAGGGGGCTTCGTAGTGGAAGTGGTTGTTGTGACAGTCAAAGGTGATGGTGGGGTTAACAGTGGAGTTAAGGTTTGAGATTAGTAGGCGTAAAAGGAAAAAGAAAAAAAATAAGATATTAAAAATTGAGATTGTATTTAAAATCATGAATAACATAATGAAATAAAAATATTTAAAAATTAGGCTAGAATGTCATTAAACGATAGATGTAACAAAGTAAATCAGTTGTATAAATCGACACACCCAAGTTTAATTTGAGAGCTCTCAAGACATATCACTGAAATATATTTATGTTTTTTAAAATTTGAAGAAATTACAAGTTTTACTATTTTAGCATAATTACACAAACTAACAAATACAAAAAGTGTAAGATTATAATGATAAATCAAATATATATATATATATATATATACATTTTAATGTGAAAGAGATAATAATATCAACCTTTTTTCATTTACATAATTAATAAATTATTGATAAAAATATAATCAAAATATTATATGAATTAAAATATGTGATTTTTATTAATAAATCTCATTTACAAGTGTTTTAACCTAAGTTTATGAAAGAATTTTTTAACCCACTTAATTTCATGTATTTATACTTTTTTTCCATAAAAAAAAATTTTCTTGATTTACATTATTTTCTTAGCCTCTTATGCCCTTATATTTAATATTGATATTTAATGTGGAGAGAGAATGGAAAAGACCAAGGCATAGGAAATTTCATATGAGTAATGCTAGAGACCTCAAATATTCTACCAAAAATTTTACCAAATGTCTCACATGGGTGTGGGACCCACACAATGTGGGTCCCATGTGGGTCCCACACCCATATGAGACATTTGATAAAACTTTTGGTATAATTTTTGGGGCCTATAGCATTTTTGATTTCATATACAAATTAAATAACATTGATGTTATTATTTTATATTATTATATAATGTGAATTTATTTTTAATTGACAATACATTAAAAATAATATGAACACTCTCTCTCATCTAATGTGAACCTTCACAACACTTTTTCGAAAAAAATTCTCTCATCTAATGTAGTGATGTGAACGTTCACAGTATGTGAACCTTCTTATTTTTAATTGACAACAGATTAAAAATAATATGAACATTCTCTCTCATCTGATGTGAACGTTCACAATACCTTCCGAAAAAATTCTCTCATCTAATGTAGTGATGTGAATGTTCACAACATGTGATATATTTAATTGACAACACATTCTTATTCACAATAAGTAGTGATGTGAACGTTCACATTTGTATGTTTTAGTATGAATATTCACATCATGTAATTAACAATACAATAAGAAAAATTCATTTCAAATTCATGTGAATATTCATTTCAATTATATGATGTGAATATTTACATCTTATAATTGACAACATAATGACAAAAATTCATTTTAAATTAATATGAATATAATAACAGTCAATATCATAATGCATGAAAACTACCAAAACATAATAACAATCAATATTAAATATAAATATTAATAGAGACTTGAGAGATTTAAGATGTTTTAATCTTCTTATTTCAAATAAAATCTAATAAAATAATTAAAAAAAATAAATTAAATAGAATAAAACTCTTTAAAAAGAAGACTTATCACAAAAAAAACTCCCTTAAAATATTAATGAAGCTTCTGGGCTTATAATAATTGCTTTATAAATCCACACAATGCAGACATTATTTTAATAATCTTTTTAGTATGAAAACAACCCACCACCATCACGTTACTTGCATTATTTTCTTTTCTTTCTTTATTTTCTCTCATAATAATGATGGTAAAGAATCTCAAACCCTTTATTACTAATTTACTCTACAATCAAAATGACTGTAAAGATAAGACTGTCCTGTGAGTCATTCCTCCTTTTCTTTGAAGATTACAGGTGAGAAAAATAGCTCTTGCATTTTTTGAGGTAACAGGTCCTTTTTTGGAGGTTGATTTCTGGGTTTGTGATCCATTTTCTTAATTGGGTCTGTGATTAGTTCTTAAAACTGTTTATCTGTGATCAATTTCAGTTGGGTTTTAGTTATAATCTTTGATTTCAGATGGGTTTGACTAATCCAGTGATGATGATTTGGGGTTCATGGCACTTGAAAATCAGTGATAATTTGAGAGGTTTAATCTGTTTTGACTCGGATGTGTCGTCGATTTCGAATCAGATGTTTGGGGGTTAAATTAATCTTAATCAGTTGTTAAATTTTGGGCTATTGTGTATTGTTCGTCGATTATAATGGGTTTTTAGCTTCTTTACTTTCTCTGTTGCACTGTGTTTGCGTCTATGTTTTCTTTTTCCTTTTTCATTTAACTCTTCAGTATTTCTCGTAGCTAGTTGGATTTATCAGAAAGAGTAGGAAATGTTGTAAATATATATTATTCTACTGTATTTATCAACAAATGTGTTTGGATTATGGATTTAGATTCCTTTCCAAATGCCTATCAAATTCATGATCGAAACAGTCTTAGGATTTTTGAACCATGGATTTGTGGTCTTCATGGAATAGATGTTAATTGTCAAATTGCTTTATTTTGTAGCCGTGGATATAGATATGATCGATTTTATATCTATGGTTGAGTTTGGTTAGGATGGAATGGTGAAAGTGGGGATACACCTTATAACTAAAAACAAAAATGGCATAACTTCAATTTTCTGAGTCATAACTGGAAGAAAAAAAAATAAAAAATAAAATAAATTCATAACAAAACACAACATCAGGCATAACTAAAGAACTTATGAGTCATAATTAAAGAAGAAAATGGCATAATTAAGGGTGCATATGGTACACCATTTTTAAAAGGGTGTATATTAGAATTTCCCGGTGGAAGCGTAAGAAAAAGAAATTTGATACTTTTCGTGCATTTGTTTAACATGACGATGGTGGAACAGGCAAGGAAGTTATATATTTCGTACAAGCCAAATCAACATGACAACTTGGCTTTGAGTTTCTTACAAAAAAAATGCAGGAAATTTTATTTTCTGAATGAAAGTAACTGACTGTTATAACTTTCTTTCAAAAAAATTCATCTTAACCAAATGCATACTGGAAAATAAATTTTTCTTTCACTTTCCTTTCTTCACTTTATATTCTATCACTTCACATCCCATCATATTTTTCACTCCCTATGGTTCATGAATTCTGGTTAGGAGCTCAATGATGGTAGGGGTCCTAGTACGTCATCCTTCTGTTATTTTAGTTTTTTAACAGGTAGCTTATTGCTTTTTGTTTGATGCAGGTATTTAGACATTGTCTGATTTTTTATCCTTTTGCACATTGTTGATTCATCAGAATTGTTGGTAAATGGGATCTGAAGGGCCTCTTGCAGTAACAATCCATGTGACAGGTTTTAAGAAATTCCATGGAGTTTCAGAGAATCCAACTGAGACGATTGTTTGTAATTTAAAAGAGTATATGAAGAAAAAGGGTTTTCCCAAAGGGCTGATCCTTGGAAGTTGCAGCATTCTTGAGACTGCTGGACAAGGAGCGGTTGCCTCCTTATATCAGACATTGCAATCTGCTCTGAGCACAAAAGATTCTGACTCTTCCAAATTGGGGAGAGTTATTTGGGTTAGTTGCTCACCTGTCAAATAACTTATCCAAAAACAAAAATTGCTAATTTGTTAATTAGATCAATTCTCGTCCTTTTGCAAATTGTAAGATTACATTTTTCCAACCTCGCTCTTGCTCTCTCTGAGAAAATATGGCATGGTATTCTGTTATGGTATATATTATGATTTATGAACTTACTGTTTTGCATGGAGTTTGGGTGAAATGAAATCCCTGGATAGTGTTGGTATATCCCCATTCTCATTGCACTTGAAAACACGTTTACTTTTTTATTACAAGTGTTGACATCTTCAAACATAAAGAGGTTGTGGCTAGTCATTCTTACCATGATTATTTTCATTTTACCAAAATATGAATTGTGAGTAGAATTGATGGGAGTAGAATTCATAGTTGATCTTATTATTGTTTGCTCCCTCATATTGTATAGAGTGCAATTACGAATAGTAAAGAGCTCTCAACTCAACTACTTTGCGAAGAAAATTGAATTTTTGGACTTTGAACAGTAAGTGATAGACTATGAATTGGGAACAGTATTAGCAAATTGTATAATTGTATTCAAGAACCTTGATCTGAAGACTGTTAAGATATGCGAGGCTTGTTTGGTGCAGCTTCTTGCAAAGCTAAAATCTAATAATTAGAAAGTAGAAGCTAAAAGTATTTTTCCCTCAGCTTCCCAATAATTAACTTCTCAGTTTTTTAAAGCTATTTCTGCCTCATAAAATGTAAGCAAAAGTTGCACCAAACATTTTGGCGTAGACTACCAAAATAATTTATAAAAAAAAAATTAAAAAAGCTATAAGCAACCCCTATAAGGTAAACGTCATCCTTTGGTTTATGTGCCCTGAAGCCAAGTGGAGCATGCATTGAAATTGTCAAGAACGTTTACCTTTATGCTGAGACTAGCATGATAACATCAATATTTTCACAAATTTCTATTTTATCAAGTTTAACGAGTTGTATATTTCCACATCCATGCATCAAATTTTTTCCCTTTTTTGATTTTTTGATAAAACTTTGTCAGCTACACTTAGGAGTTAATAGCGGTGCAACAAGGTTTGCTATTGAGAATCAAGCTGTCAATGAAGCTACTTTTCGTTGTCCAGATGAAATGGGATGGAAGCCTCAGGTCAGATAGAACTCCCTAGGATATTCTCCTTTCCATCTTTAAATTCCATGGTTTCTCATTTAATTGACTACATTTTGTTATTGCAGAAAGTCCCCATTATTCCCACAGATGGTGGAATTTCACGGACACGAGAGGTAGAGTGAATTTCATGACTTTTCTCATTTGTAATTCTTCCACATTTTTCCATTAAGTTCTTGGACCTTAGGTGTAGCACTAAATATGTATTGTTTGTTAAAATGGAATAGCTTTATGATCTGTTATTGTGAACCTCCCCAACATAGGAAGACTGAATATTCAATTGATGTATGTTGCATCTGGCATTCCCATCCCACAGAGAGACTCCATTAAACCCTTAAAATTGCCGAATTAACCCCAAATCTGCAAAACTACAAAATATACCCCGTATAATGAGAAACTTTATAGGTGAGATTTCTAGAAAACGTAAGCGAGATTTTAAGGTTTAGCTTTGCTTCTTCTTCTTCTTCTTCTTCTTCTTCTTCTTCTTCTTCTTCTTCTTCTTCCCTTTTCATACCCTAAGCTTAAGTATTCTAATAACTTCGTGCTAAAAGAATCGTGATTTCCTGCTCTCCAGAGTCCTCAGTTTTTCCTCATTTATGCCACTCTTGCCATTTAAAAATAGTGAAATGTTCTGTTAAAGATCATTGTCCTGTTTATCTATCTATGCAAATTATGCACCTTCTATGAGATTCAAACTATACTCTATCAATCAACAATCCCAAGCATTTTTTAGTCTCCTCCATCTTCAGTTACAGATTGGTTTGATTATGTTTAACCATTATTTACAGATTGCTGTTTTACATTAATTCTTTGTTCAACCTCAGAGAGATTCGAAAATAATTGTACTCCTAAAATCATTTGATATTGCCTTTTGATTGTTCATCTATTTTCTTTTTGACTTCTTGCCAGTTAACCAGAAAATACACGAATTATAAGTAATTAGTACTTAAAGAATTTAAACATATTACAAGAGTGTTAGTTTATTATGATTACATCTCATTTAAAACTGTTGTGTCATTCCTGGAGATGATGGCATGACAAGTCACTTTCCCTTCTTACTGCTAACTTGTATACATTATGTCGTCTGGTTAAGCAGATTTTTGTCTTTATTAATGAAAAGTTCTCCTCGAACCATCAGCTGCATTGGGTGTGGGACACAACAAACCCTAGACAGTTCCAAAATAATACTCTTCAATTACTTTTTAGGGCTCAAAAGTTATTTTTTATCAAAAACGTTTCCTTTTCAATACCAAGTCAAGCATTTGTATTCACCCAAAAAGTCAAGCATTTGTAATTTGTTGTAGTGGCAAACTATGCTCATCGGTAAACTTTCTGCAACCTGGATAGGACTTTAAATGTCTTCCAAATGCTCTATCATTTTCTGTCCTGAAGATGTTTTTGCATTTCTATTTCTTTGGCAATGCTTTAGTATTTAAATTCCATATTTAGTTGATCTTAACTTGTGGGAAGGAGCCACCTTTGTTGATCAGGTTGAGCTTGCAATGCCCATATATAAAATATGTGCTTACACATTTGCCACTGCATGGATGTGTATATTTTAATGGCGATTTCCCATGCATTAAATTAGGTTTTAGAAGACAGAAGAAAAATATTAGTTGGAAGTCAAAAGATAATGTGCACAATGTGACATTTTAGTTGACATGTTTTGTTCACTTCGATCGTTGTCATAATTGATACAAAAGAAATGTGAATAATCCTTGCAAAACATTATAGATTTATCAATATTGTTTTTTTTTTTTTTTACTAGCCTTTATTAGAATGAAAATTACTTGTACTAATATACAAGGAAATAGTGCCCATTTCATGTTGAGCTTGATGTTTGTACTTGTGTATGTCGGAGTGAGCATCATAATCATTAATCATATAATTGAGATGGATAGTAGTATTTTGTGCACAGCGTGAGTGACCTTGGTTCTATATGTGCAGACTACTCTTCCCGTTGAGGAGATTACAAGGGCCTTGGCAAAGATGGGTTATGAGGTGATGACCTCTGATGATGCTGGTCGATTTGTTTGCAACTATGTATATTACCATTCTCTCCGTTTTGCAGAGCAAAATGGGATTAAATCACTCTTTGTACATGTGCCCCTCTTCTTAGCAATAGATGAGGAGACCCAAATGCAATTTGTTGCATCCTTGCTCGACATACTTTCCTCTTTAAACTAGTGTACTACTAATCTCCTCTCATCTTTATGTCTAGATGCATATTTGCTTGTATTGTTATTGGCCATGTATGTGAAGGGCGGTGGTGTGTGTTTGTTTAGTGTTTTTTTTTACAATAAACAGTTTAATGGCACATACATCTAGCGTGTTTTTCTGTGATTTTTTTGTAAAGGCTCAAAGCACTATTCTATTGTTCAAGCAATCTTTCATGCTAAATTGTGAATAAAATTGTTGCTCACAAAGCTTACCTATATGATTGTAATGTCAACTCACTTTTGGGTGATACAGATCTTGTTTCCTTGTCCCTAGTTCCACTGATGCTTTTTCTCATCCTGCAGTTGCCCCTAAAATACTATAATGTGGCTTAGCATATGATGGTTAGAGTTCAAATTTATGCTTTTTATAAATTTAGAGCAACAAGGTTGTTCCATCATGGGTGTAGCTGAAAATGGGATTGTCATAAAATGTCACCCAAATTTACATCAGCCTTTCATGTTGTTCTGCACAATTAAAAAAGTCATTTCTAAAGTATATAAGTTTTTTCACCTCATAAAAAAAGTTAAAAAATCGCTGGACTTTTCTAAAACAGCAATGTTCTCCCTTCAACTTATTAAGATCTCAATATGCAACTACAATGATGAAAATTACTACAATTTTTATTCAACAATGATTTCATGATTCCTTGGTTTTTGATTGCCCAGACACTGGCTGGTTGCTATATCCTTATTTTCTTTGACCTTGTTAAAAATAAATCAAGCTGTTTACTTTAAATCCTTGCTTGTTAGTTCTCCTTATACTTAATTTTAGCCTCAAATAAGCCATGTATGGGGTTATCGCTAAAATGCTGTGGCAGGTACTAGCTAAGTTTAAACCTCCAGAAGCACCAAGTGTAATCTTGGATTCTTGGCATAATTTTATTTTTACGTGCACTGTGTTTTATCATATTTTTGTGTTTCCCAAAAGAGAAAAAGAGCATTTGGCTCAACCTTCCAAATGAAACATACATGAGAGTGAGTTCATCTGGGATACTCAAAATTAACCCAAAACGAAATATATAGACCAGATATTTTCTGGGATACTTTTTTGGGCTACAATTTTTCCGAGTGGATGGAAGAGAATTTCACTTCAAGAACTCCAACATAAATTATAGGGTAAGCTACATACCCATTTAAAATGAAACATACATGAGAGTTCCTTCATCTACAACTAGCTGTAGGTTATACACTGCAAAACGAAATGCCATTGCTAACCATACTGAAAAGAAAGTGGTCTAGCAGAGACAAAGGATGGATGCAAGTGACAAAAAAAATAAAAGTAAGAAATAAAAACAGCAGAGCTATCCCCAATCGATATAGGGAAATGTTGGATATCCACCCTCTGGGGGCGGCTTCAATGATGGAGGTAGATTACCCAGTGAAATTCCCATACCATCCCCGACCACACCTCCTGCAATCAGAATGATGCAAATAAGCAGTGGGAGCAAAATCATTGATACCCAAAAAAGAATATAACAAGAAAAACGAAGCTGTAAGTATCACAGATAACTCATCAGAAACAAAAATGAAAACATCTAATTGTATTGTTTGATTTGATAATAAGGGTGGCAATTGTGTAGGAATAGCCAGTGTTCTTGTCCTGTCAACACACGATGTATTACATTATATTGGGCCAAGCAAAAGCCAACCTGTTTTTTAATCGTGTTCAAATCTTTAACCCTGACATGGCCCATTTATTATACATGACATGGCATGACTCGTGTAACCCATTCAATAAACAAGTTTGGTTGTGTCCACAAGTATAACCTTTTTAATTTACCCGTGAAGCCAGTGCCACACGTCAATTTATATCTTATTTATCACCCAATTATAATAATTAGTAAAAAAACAACGCCCAATTAGTACACATTAATGTGTGTTTGGAAGGGAAAATATTGAATACACATCTAAGCTTTGACATAATGCACAAAGTGGTGGTTCCAAGACTTAAACCCATAACCTCAAAGTTATTAGGCCAAGTATTAACCATTAAACCAATGGTCACCCCTAATTATAATAATTAGTAATATACAAAAAAATAAAATTATGTTACAATCCAATTCCAGAAACGTGACATAGTAATAGTGATATATTAAATGGGTTAAACATATTTTTGGTTACATGGGTTAATATGACACAATTAATAAAACTGGTCAAATCAAGTTAAATGTGTTGGCACTTACGACCTTAAATGTGTTGGCACTTACGACCCTAACCTGTATACACACTAAATGCATCAACTTGGTTATGACAAGAACTCAGATAAGCCCAATCCAACCCCCATAATTGCATGTCGATTTTGAGTCATGTTGGTGGGTCATTTAGAAAATTGCCATGCTTAGATAATAACAACTGACTTATTAACACATGACATTTTCCAAATAATGACATTAAAGATTTAGTTTCAGACACCGAATAGTTCACACCAACAGAAGTACTAATACTTGCCTGGAAAAGGTGGTCCTCCAGCTAGTTGACTCTCAGGAATAAGTGGTGACTGAATGTTATCTGTTAATTTTTCACAAAACGCCAGGTAAAATTACATGTTAAGAATAAATCATCATTGTTCCCTCCTCAAAACTAAATATGCACATATTTTATATTTGTATACACAAAAACACATGCACCTCTATATTCGAATGAAATGGCAAACCAAATATTTTTCAAATGCCCTTTGCCACATGTTATAAGATATCCCTAGAAAGCATGTGTGTTCAGATTTCCAGAAGCATTGGAGACACCTTAGGAGCATCAAGTAAAGTAGTTTTGGGCCATGAGATTAATAGAACATCGGATAGAACCTTTTGTCAAAAAAGAATAGAAGAGGATTGAACAGATGAATTACCTGGTACGCCTAAGTTTTGCTTGGGGTGGAAATATTTACAAGAATCCCCATACGGGCATGATCCCTTTCAAGTATGAGAAGAGAAAAACTAAAATAAGTGACGGTGATAATCCAATCCAAGTATCACAAAAGTAAATTTTCCCTAATAATTATGTACATAGTATGAATAATTTAATAGTTCAACATTAAACATAATTTGACTAGCCATGAATCAGCATGCAGCAATTAACTGATGTGCACCATTTTTATAAGGCCTAACTTAAGATCAAGCCACAGCAACTATAACAAAAGTAGTTCAAAACTAAGTAAAATCCATAAAGAGAAATAGACCATAGGCAATGAATATATTATAGATATACACAACTTTCTTTCTTTCTTATTTTTTTTAAGGGAATGACAATTGGAGAATGCATGTTGTTCCAAATGGTCATTCAATTCTTCAATCAACATAGTTCTAATCAATGTAGATGAATTGGAGGAAAAAATACAGTTTTAAGGTGAATACAACCTATTGTGGAATGTATCAACCAAAAGAAAGATTATGAAAGAAGATGAAGAACAAGAAAACAAGGGAAAAGCATCAAAGTGGCTAGGGTCTTAGGTGAAGGATATCATGATAGCTACTTTCAAAACTCACACTTGAAGAACACAACCTCTCTCCCTCTATCTTGCGCGTGGACGCTAGTCCCATATGGGCAATCTATTAGTAACTAATCTTGTTCAAGATATAAGGCAATTAAGTTACACCCTCTCTAATGGCTTAAACTGTTTTAGAGAAGTTTGACATTAACATAAGGTTGTTTTGGGAACATCCTACAACAGCCAAAAAGTCACTATAAAAAAGTCACCTCTTCTCTTTATTTTTCTGCACGTCTTTTCGTAAAAATCTATATGAAAAAGGTCCAAGAATGTCGCCGGAATCAATGGAGATCGCCGGAGCTTGTTTGGTTTAGTAATTTTGGAAAAAAAATTTCAAAATCACTTTTTTCTCTCTTACACATCAATCAATCACTTTTTATCTCTCCTCTCTCCTTCTCAATCACTTTTTCTCTCACACACATCTACTCAATTACAACAAAATATCAAATCATCCCAAACTTCCATACTCCAAAACTATTTCAAAAATATACAACCAAGCAAACTAAAAAAATTTCTAAACTCTCACCCAAAATCTTTTTTGAAAATTTATTTCCCAAAACCAAACCAAACCAAACACACCCAAAGTTTCCTGGAGCTCCAACAATCCCTATGAAAATGGAGGGTGAGGCTAGAGATGGTCAATGGTTGCAATAAGAACTCAAGAAATGGAGATGAAGAAGGATGAAAGAATGGGTGAAAGTAAGGTTTTGAAAAGCGGTTGTGGTCGCTGTTACGGTTGCGGTGACGCTGGAACGGTTGCAAGGTGTAAAGGCCGTAGCGTAACGGTTGCGGTAACCGGAATGGTGATTTTTTTTTTATTTTTCACACAATTTGAAGAAATTTTATTGATATGCATAATTTTTTCTTTCAAAATCACATTTACTGGGGTTTAAAATCAATTTTGATCAATTTTGATTAATTTTTAAGTATAATCCAATATATTTCATATTTTCAAATCACTATAAAAGACACTTTTTACATTTTATTTCAATAGTTAATGATTTTAAGAATAATTGATTTTAAATGTTGAGAATTATTTTTTACCAATAGCTGAACTAACTGAATAAAAAATATTCACAATTATTAAATGAAAGGATTATAAAATAAAAATTGTGCCATAAATTAAAAAAATATATATTATAAAGAAAAAGAATTCATATAAAAAAATTTCTTTGGGTTTGAATCACTTGAGAATTTGTTCTTTTTTTGTAAGCTTTTGGTTTTTTTTTTTAGAAAATGAAACTATTCAGAATATTGTTAAAGGGTGTAATGGTGTCTAACAGACCGTTACGGCCGTTACGTAACACCGAAACGGCCGTTATACATGTGAATTTCCATCACACCGCTATAGCGACCGTAACGAATGGCGGTAACCACCACAACCGTTACGTAACGGTTACAGCCGATTTTTAAAACCTTGATTGAAAGAGAAAGCAAAGAGGCTAGAGAGAGAGAATTGGCATAGCTCCCATGGATCGCCCACTTTCATCTCTCAAGGACCAATGAACTATGAAAATTTCTCCAATTAAATTCTAATCGTCCTCCCAAAGCTATGGGTGGGTGCCTATTTATAGGCTATTCAAAAGTTACCTCTTCGAAGAGGTGGTAACCAATTAAGGTTAAGCCCATGTGCAAGCACATGGGGAAAGATTCTCTCTAACTTGATAAGACCCCCAAGAAAGCTACGTTACACGGACCCTTTGGAATTTTGCAAGTATCCGTGTCGACACGACACGACACAGGCAGGTGCGGAATACGGTCGGGATAAGGCTCTTTACAGATGGATACGGCAAAAGAAACGAAATAGAAGAGAGCAAGGAGAGAACCTGGTCAACTGTCAACTTCGATCTAGATCGTCTTCTCTCTTCTCTCTTGTCTCTCGATCTCCCTTCTTCTCCTCTCTCCATCTCTCTCGTCGTCCTCATACATCTCTCTCTCTCTTTCTCTCTCTCTTTTTCTTTCTTTTTAACCGATAACAAAAAATCAGATATAATATAATAAAATAAATCATATATAATATAAATTATTTAATATTTCATATTTTCATCACTATAAAAGAAACTTTTTACATTTTATTTCAATAGTTAATGATTTTAAGAATAATTGATTTTAAATGTTGAGAATTATTTTTTACCAATAGCTGAACTAACTGAATAAAAAATATTCACAATTATTAAATGAAAGGATTATAAAATAAAAATTGTGCCATAAATTAAAAAAATATATATTATAAAGAAAAAGAATTCATATAAAAAAATTTCTTTGGGTTTGAATCACTTGAGAATTTGTTCTTTTTTTGTACGCTTTTGGTTTTTTTTTTTTAGAAAATGAAGCTATTCAAAATATTGTTAAAGGGTGTAATAGTGTCTAACGGACCGTTACGGCCGTTACGTAACACCGAAACGGCCGTTATACATGTGAATTTCCATCACACCACTATAGCGGCCGTAACGGATGGCGGTAACCACCACAACCGTTACGTAACAGTGTTACGAAACGGTTGCAGCTGATTTTTAAAACCTTGAGTGAAAGAGAAAGCAAAGAGGCTAGAGAGAGAGAATTGGCATAGCTCCCATGGATCGCCCACTTTCATCTCTCAAGGACCAATGAACTATGAAAATTTCTCCAATTAAATTCTAATCGTCCTCCCAAAGCTATGGGTGGGTGCCTATTTATAGGCTATTCAAAAGTTACCTCTTCGAAGAGGTGGTAACCAATTAAGGTTAAGATTCTCTCTAACTTGATAAGACCCCCAAGAAGGTTACGTTACACGAAACCTTTGGAATTTTGCAAGTATCCGTGTCGACACGACACGACACAAGTGGGTGCAGAATACGGTCGGGATAAGGCTCTTTACAGATGGATACGGCAAAAGAAACGAAATAGAAGAGAGCAAGGAGAGAACCTGGTCAACTGTCAACTTCGATCTAGATCGTCTTCTCTCTTCTCTCTTGTCTCTCGATCTCCCTTCTTCTCCTCTCTCCATCTCTCTCGTCGTCCTCATACATCTCTCTCTCTCTTTCTCTCTCTCTTTTTCTTTCTTTTTAACCGATAACAAAAAATCAGATATAATATAATAAAATAAATCATATATAATATAAATTATTTATATTATAAAATAATTATACACACAAATTATTATTTTATTTATTATATATATAATAAATCATCTATTTTCAAATATATATATATATATAATCATATATAATATAAATTATATTATGCCTAAAATAATTTTTATATTTTATAATAGTGGGATACCTAAAAAATACATAATATTTTTTTGACACATTCATATTTAGCCGTATCCACGTATCCTTGTCTAATTTTTGAGTACTTTTAAGACGCACCCGCGTATCCCTCATTTAGAGATTTGTCGAGTCCGACCTCTAGATACATACCCGCACCCGACACTCGTACCCTAGTTCATGTAACATAGCAAGACAAACACCAACTTCTCAGCAAACCTTTCTCTCTAATCTCATGGGGAAATAATGCGAAGACTCATAGACTCCTTGAGTCAAGCCACCTAGACCCGGGTATAGGCTAGTTTAAGCGAAGAGTGAATTTATCTTTGAGCTCACCATCTTCGAGATTGGGTCCTTTGACTCTTGCCACACTCATGGTTATGATGCGTCGATCTCGAAACAACTCTGAGCCCGCAAATATTCTAGATTGCTTATGAATTCATTTAAAGCCATATGCTTCAGAACTATAGGTCTGCTTAGAACCCTTTCAAGTCTAAGCTCAATAGATCTCTGGGTTCATAGATCCAAACCTTTTCAAAACAACACAAATTACCTCAGAGAATGGATCTCCCCCGAGGGTTTCACCTCTTCTGAATACGATATCTCTCTTTCCAAGAGTGCAACAGTTAATTCTCTCAGATGCCCGTATCGTCTAGGCCTGTTCGGATGGGCTTGTTGGGTTTTCTTTAGAGATATAAGCTTGTTGGGTCCTCTTTGGCCCAATTTGTTGACTCTCTCTCAGGCCCATTTAATAGGGATTCACTAGGGCTTATTTGGTGAGGATTAGAGAGAAAGATTCGCTAAGAAGTTGGTGTGTTTCTCGAGGGCCTTATCATTCTCAAGGTTATCTAGACTAGAGAAATAAATGAGAGATCCTCGAGAAGCGACTTCCTCGGACAAAGTGGTTAGAGAGAATCTTTTCCCATGTACTTCCATATGCTTGCATATGTGCTCAACTTTGATTGGTTACCACCTCCTCGAAGGGGTAACTTTTGAGTAGCCTATAAATAGGCACTCACCCATAGCTTTGAGAGGACAAATAAAATTCAATTGGAGAAATCTCCATAGTCTATTGGTTCTTGAGAGGTGAAAGTGGGAGATCCATGAGAATTATGCCAATTCTCTCTCTAGCCTCTTTGCTTTCTTTTTCACCCAATCTTTCATCCTTCTTCATCTC